TTGATAATAGCTATAAGATGTGGTTGATTGGTTCTTGCTTCATTGTAAATTCCAAACTCACGTTGATTCCTGTAGGTTAATTTGATTAAATTGTTCTAATTCTTCATGTCCATACCCTAACATGTCCTCGACCATTTCTAAATGGAATTTTTTCAGGTAACAATAATTTACTGATGTTTTACCTATCAGGATATCCGTGATTCCCCGTGGGAGGCTTTTGAGCTTCAGATCTCTCCCTTTCAAAGTATTGATGCGCAAGGAGTACTCCCGGATACGTTCTGGTGGGTTGCAAATCTGAAACGTGACTTAAAGTTTAATTTTAAAATGAATTTTTGTCTTTTTAACTCACTCTTTGAAGTATGTGGCGGTACAACGCCGAGACCTGCACATATGGGGTGTCTTTTTTTCGCGGGCTCCAATCATCACATTCCTTTAGTAGGTTCACTTGAAAATTGGGAAATTGGATCCAAAGTGAATTTAACATGTGCGTGGACTTATCTTCGCAAACGGTGGCTCGGCGTCGATCTTCCACATTCTTGTGCAGTTTGTCACCGAAGGCGCAGTTGTCACACACGGCAAGGGCCTCTCCGCCGTGTCAAAGCATCGCATACTTTTTGTGGCCACTGCTCGTGCAATTTCTGCCTGAAATGCTTCTATTTTATGCGGGTACAGAACTAATAAGTGGTTATTTTACTGTAATTCTGTTTGCGATTCCCCATAGGAGATCCAAATCGCGCCCCAAGGGGCGATTCAGACTACCATACGTTGTTGTTGCTCGCGCCACCACATCCGATTGAACAAATTCCTACAAAAAATCTATTTGCATATTACAAGGCGTTTTCAAAACTTACATAGTATGCTGCCTCGTTAAATTCGTCACGTCGCATTTTAGCCAGAATCAGCTTCGCGGCAGTGTCCACTTGCAAGACGCCACCATCTATACAGTCATGTAGATGGGATGGTAAGGGTGGTGAGGCTGGCCGCTGTTCTCGCCTTTCTTCGACGTGAAACTCCCTCCTTTCATAAACATTGCCTGCAGAAACTCTCAACTAAATTGAAAAGTTGGTTTAAATCAAGGAGCATAATTTTTTACCTTGTGGCACTTCTTCTTCCAAAGCAATAGGAACTTCTTCCGTGGGAATTGCGCGCTCCTCAACAACTCGCGGGGAGGTGATGTCCAGTAGAGCTCGGGGCTTTGCGTACACTCGCTTTGCAGCTCTCGACCTTGTTATGGCGTATGGAGACGTGCGTTGCATTGTTGTACTAAGCGAACATTGCAGAATAATGCATGCATCAATAAATACGAACATTGAGATATAATCTCGCGGAACGATTTAGCATTAGAAGTGTAGTGTAGTATAGAAATCTTTATCTACACATCCCAGAATGACAGAGCTTACAATCTTGATATAAAAGTTGCACTGCCGTATTCTACTAAGCAACACGGTCCCTGTATATGCTCAGCATTCTTTACCCGCGTGACAATATCAGTTTTTTGACAAAAAAAGTTGTTTAGTGCTGTTATTTCTCTCATTAAGGCTAACGCAACCCTTCGAGCGTCTAGTGGAACAACTCCTCTGGAGTCGTGCGGGCAATGGTTGACTCGATTATGCAGATTTTCGAATGGATTACAGGTACGATACTGTTCAAGCAAAACCTTGATCGTTTTGTTTGCGTTGTTGTAGAGGAAGAGGATAATCGAGCCATAGACGTTTTTTTCGTTCCCTTCGCTTGCATTCTCGTCGCGCAAAAAGATGAGGTCCTGGCGCGTCCGATTTTTGCGCTTCCAATACTTGCGGCTCGAATATACTTTCCCTCGAACTACGAGACGGGAGCTGGAAGGTATTTTTCTTTAGAAATTAGTGATTTTTCTCAATCTCACATACTAGGGAACGTTCGACGAACGCAAAATCCGCGTTTTCTCCGGTTCTTCCAAATCCTCGGTGCACACTTGACTGTTGCTTGGAATGTAGCAGCGTTCGTTGATCTTTATTTCAAGTGGAAACCTAACACCGACTTCTATCTCAACAGGTTAGGTTAGACAAATCTGTTACCTGTTATTCTGATTGTCGGTCTTCTTCTTCAAGGATTCGAGTGCGATGTTATCCGTTTCATTGAGTAAAGACCGCACTTTTTTACCCAACAAGTACCTGATTTAGTATTGATGAGGAATCGTGCATGTAAATGTTGCTATTTTTTTTAGGTTCCCAAAGTTCACACAGATGCGCACTCAGTACGAAGGATATGATAATCTTGTAAATATTCTGTCATTGTTTTTGATCATTTTGGTTGTCTTTTTTCGTTGTTCGTTTCGCGATGCATCAATGCATGACGCATCATTGCTTGAGGTATGCATGAGGTATTGAGATCAAAATGGTTAGAAATTGTGAAAACAATCAAAAGAAAGCAAAGAAAGCAAAATGGACAATTCATAATACAAGAAAAATGTATGGAATGTACCTTTCTATCAGAAGGGTGGAGCTGTTTGTAGTGTGTTGGTTCATTTTCACTTGCAACCTGCGATGATGTCCTTCAAAGGGTGCTGCGGACCATTGATATAACGACCCAAACCGCTCTAACTCACGCTCCATTGCATGTTCGAAGAACCACTGGAGTTTGAGGCTAAGATTAACGCCAAATATAGGTTATTTCTATATAAAACTCACATGGCATTTCATCGTGAACGTTTGGGACGCCAGCATAATCCATAGATCCCTAGTGTGTTCAGCTATGGACTTAGCTTTCTCAATCACTGCCCTTGTTAGCGAGGAGGTTTTGCAAATCAACCTCACACATATCCAGTATCCAATCAAAGAAGCAGCGGCTATAGGTGATGGGACAATGTCCACTGCTGCCACTAAGGGGAATAACACGAATGCCATCTGGATAAGAGAAAATCAAGCCAAAAAACTCATAACAGAAGTAAAAGTACCTCATCCACTTCAGCTCCTTTACAGGTGGGCAGATCCTCTAAAGATAGTACGAGGCTGTTCGAATAGGTGTGAGAGGTGATCTTTGCGAGACAGTCTTTCACGTGTTCCAGTGATTCTCGATCGACTTTCAGCTCCGGAAACCTTGACGTAGGGTTAAACAAGTCTGAAAATATTATTACTTATCTATGGGGGTTTGGGTCTGTTGATACCTCTGAGTCTATTCCTGGTAATCCCTTCTGAACAGACATGAAGGGCGTCTCCGAGGAAATGGCTGGGAGGCAACAAGTCCATCATGTACGTTTTCTCTGTAAAAACGTCCACCATGTACGTTTTCTCTGTTCTCTGTAAATGGGTACACATATGTTCTCACTTGTGATTCCAAATTGCCGTGCTTCAGCGTCTGTTGCAAATGACTCCTCACTTCGCTGGACCAAGTCTGCATTGTTTGATGGAATCCATATTCTCTGGTTTCCATCTCTGATCCCTTTGATATAACACTTCGAACATCCATAGTCTGCGTTCCATCTAGGGACTCCGAAAAGCGCTTGCTGTGCCTAAGTTCCCATTGTCATGACACAAGTACTCTCGCAAATTCTTACCGGCATGTCGGCAACACCACGGAAAAGGCGTACGTCGACAGTCCATGTTTCTTCCCCAACGACAACCTCGAGGGGGGTTTCATGGAGGCTTAAGAGCTCGGAGTACAATCTGATATATAAGATGGTTGAGTGCGTAGGTTTTTTTCCGATACGGTGATTTGCGAATCTTGCCTGCTAAAGAGGACTTCTATCAGGCTCTCAGTGGGTTTTAGACGGGTGTATACGGTCCCAGCGATCATTGTGTTGAAGTAATTATTAGCTTCTTTTGGAGGTAGCCCCTCAACGCGTAGATAAAGTGGCCAAACCTCTCGCCTTCAATCAAAGATGAATCCGTTTTGTTAAGATACTAGACGTACTTCGAAAGTCTTCTTGGTACAAAACCATCCAAGGACATTGTAAGCAGTACCGTCACTCGTTTGATGTTGAAATCGCTCTGGCTCTCTATGCTGTCGTAGTAGCCTTCAAAGAGTCTTACATCGCTACGATCTTCAATCGCAGTGCCCTTAATGATTAGAACGTATTCATTTGTTATGGCCATAGCTTGAAGCACCTGCATTCTATTATCGTGAAGCGTCCTATGCATGGCAATAATGTCCTCCAAGCCAGCAACGAGGATATCTGTTATCTGTGGGATGATGTTTACTAGATGCACTTCGGTCCTTTGGATTCGCTTTGCTCTCTTTATAGGAACTCTCAAATATTTAGCTTACTTCACCTAGGTTAAGTCTGAGGGCTGAAGAAGCAAACCCAGAAATTTTGCACTCAGGCTTTCTGCAGGCTATCTGGTACTCGCCCATTGTCTCGCCGCATTCCGTACAGAAAAAGTACCTCTTATGGTCATATTCGCTCAAGATGCTTTTATTCAAAGCAAGTACGTTACCATCATACTGAAATCATATTAGTTACATAATTCTGCTCAAGCAGCTTTGAACATGAGAACCGTAATTGGAATGGGACCCCCGATT